GAGTCCGTGTGAGGGAGGCGGGTCCTTTAATAGAACCAGAGATCCAACGGGCCAGCAGCCTCGTACAGGCGGTGCTGGATCCAGAGTGGGCGGTGCTTCCTCACCTCCTGAAATACCGCCTCAGCTGTTCAGAACATACGTAGCGGGCTGTGGGTTCTGCTGTCTGGTGCTCAGGTTCTGCTTCCTGTCTGTCCCCCTCTGTGTCCAGCTGAGCTTCGGCGGGATCCCTCTGCCCGGAAAGCCCGGCACCTTCCTGAGGAAGAACTTCCACGGCTGCATGGAGAACCTCTACTACAACGGCATCAACATCGTGGACCTGGCCAAGAGGCGCAAGCCGCAGATCCACAGCGTGGTGAGTCCCACATGTTCAGACCGCTGGACTCTGAGCGAGCTCACGCTGCAGAACCAGCACCTCCCGGGTCAGACGGGTGGAGCCCATAAGGAGTTCTGTCTGTGTTTACGATCAGCCTGTGAACCTCAGGTGGGGGTTCTGCTCCCGGCTCATCTGTCTCCACTGTGGGTTCATGTTTCACTGAAGTCCTGCAGCTCTGTGGAACCAGAACCTGGAGGAGAAGTCAGAACTTGTTCTGTTAGAACGACTCAGGATGGTATAGATGATCAAACAGGAGGAGAAAGTTTGAGTAACGGTGGAAAGATTTTCAGTCAAGTTGGACCTTTTGAGTCATTTTAGATGAAGTTTGAGTCATTTTAGGCATTTTTTCACTTATTTTGTGGCACATTTCAGTATTTTAGAGCAGGTTCTGTCCATTTCGGGTCAGGTTCTGAATAGTTTGGGACAGATTTTTGTCATTTTAGGCATTTTTTAAGTTTATTTGTTCACCTGAAAACTCTTTGAACTTTGGTCACAGTTCAGTCGGTCATGACGGAGACGTTTCAAGATAATTATTTTATTTCATTTATTTATGATTAATTCTTAATTTTATTTCTCTATATTTGCTTTTTTTTCTCTAATTAGTACACCTACTACATTTTCAGTCAATGTTTTGAAAATGAACTGATTTTGATGTTTGATGGTTTTATGAGACGTTGAAGCACCAAACATCTGAGAGTTCTTTCCGTTTTTTACAGTTTCTGGTTTTATTTTGTAGATTTTTTATAAAGGAAGCTTCAGTCTCCACCTGTCAGGTAAACACAAACAGGAATCTGATCATCGATGGTTTCTGGTCAGAAATCACGTCACAGAGACGTGTTTTTGTTTTTTAGTATTTTTTGACTGTTTTTATGTGAACTCCTGCC